CTTCTGCTACTTTAGGAGACATAGGAGAGATCTTTCCTAATGGGGTTGTGAAGATCATTGATAGGAAGAAGAATCTTATAAAACTATCCCAAGGAGAGTACATAGCGCTCGAGTACTTAGAAAACGTTTACTCTGTTACCCCGATCGTCGAAGATGTAAGTTTTAAATCGTGTTCCTCTAAGCCTATGGGAACAGCTTTTGGTGACTTGAGTTTCTTTGATGTTGTTTTTTTTCCAAAGATATGGATATATGGGAACAGCTTCAAATCAAAACTGGTGGCAGTGGTGGTGCTACATGAGGAAAACACCAAGAAATGGGCAAATTCAAATGGTTTTTTGTGTTCTTTTTCTGAGCTTTGTTGTCTTGAACAGCTTAGACAATATGTTCTTTTTGAGCTCACTTCCACAGCTGAAAGGACCAAGGTACAATCACTCTCGGCTCTACTTCCTGTCGGATAAGTAGTATGGCACCATGAATATCTGATCATGTTTTTTTTTTTTTCCTTTCGTATTATGTGAGATCCGGAGAACAAAACATTTTTTAAGAGGGTGTTTCCACCTCTCCCTAACCTACGTATTTTAAAATCTTGACGGAAAGCCTAAAAGGAATAATATCTGCTAGCGGTAGGCTTGGATTGTTATAAATGTTATTAAAGCTGAACACTGGGTACTGTACCAGTAAAGATGCTGGCCCCCTAGGAGGTGGATTGTGAGATCCCATATCGATTGGAGAAGGGAATGAAACATTCCTTATAAGGGTGTGGAAACCTGTCCCTAGCATACGCATTCTAAAACCTTGAGGGAAAGCCCAAAAGAGAAAACCCAAAGAGAACAATATCGATTAGTGGTGGACTTGAGTGGTTACAAATGGTATCAAAGCTAAACATTAGACGGTGTGCTAGCGAGGATGTTGGGCCCCCAAGGGAGTGGATTGTGAAATCCCACCTTGGTTGGAGAGGGAACGAAACATTCCTTATACAAGGGTGTGGAAACCTCTCCCTAGCACACGCGTTTTCCAAAGAGGACAACATCTATTAACAGTAGGTTTGAGCTGGTACGTCAAAAGACTATCGATCATCTTAACTCGATGTCTTTGGCTTGCACCAGTTGAAACGTTTTGAATACATCAAAGGAGTGGTGCTGGAATCGCGCCCGTTCGATATAGAAGACGAATTGGTCACGGCGACCTTGAAGAAGAAGAGAAACAACTTGCTCAAACACTATGAGGTTGTTGGTTGGAAACTTTTTGTTATTTTCCCACAGATGAAGTATTCCGAAACTGAGACTAATAAGCTGCCTTTTGTTGCAGAAGGAAATCAACGCAGAATATAAGAACTTGGAGGCCAAGAGGTGATGAAGTTTAAGAGCTCAGCTGATGAGTCTGAAGCATACGTTAAAATCCACATGTTATAATAATATAAACAGCATCCATTTCTTGGGAAATTATGTTGAAGTAAATGTTACTTTTGAGACAGAATTTACTTTTTAGGTTGAATTTGTTTGGTACACAGTTGAGTTCACACAGCCTGAATGAATTGCTCATATTTAAACTTATAAGTTGGATTTAAAAAATTAAAAAAATGAAACCCAACGATTCGACCGGACCCAAATGATAGTTAAGTCCACTACTAATCGATATTATCCACTTTGATATGTTACGTATTGCATATATTGTCTGTTTTGGCCTATTATGTATCACCGTCAGTCTCACAATTTTGAAACGCATCTACTAGGAAAAAGTTTTCACACCTCTATAAGAAATACTTTGTTCCCCTTTCCATCCGATGTGATATCTCAAAATCCACTCCTTGGAGGGTCTAGCGTCCTCGTTGGCAAATCAAATGTCTGACTCTGATGCCATTTGTAATAGCTCAAGCCCACTGCTAGCAAATATTGTCATCTCACAATCCACTCCCCTTGGAGCCTAGCATTCTCGCTGACAAATTGCCCGATGTCTAACTCTAATGCCATTTGTAATCCACTCTCCTTGAAGGCCCAATGTCCTTGCTGGCAAATCACTCGGTGTCTGGCTCTGATGCCGTTTGTAATAGCACAAACCCAGATATTATTCACTTTGATCTGTTACGTATCATTATCAACCTCACGATTTTAAAACGCATCTACTAGGAAAAAGTTTCCACACCCCTATAAGAAATGTTTCATTCCCCTCTCCAACTCCTCCAACTCCCCTAAATTGCCTCTTCATATTTATACCAAGCACCACCAATTTTTGGAAGCCCATATGACTAAGTTCAAAGTTCTGGGTTCTGGTAAGAGCATGCCAATTTAGCTATAACAAAAACAATATGAATCAATCAAAAGTGAACTATCTGTACAAGAACAAACCCAGCAAAAGCATCGGAATGTTCGAGTCCTTCGCATATTTACAGATACCAACATGATCTAAAGCCTTCGATCAAGTTATAAGGTATATGAAAATTTCAGTGTAAAGGAGCTGGCGATGTCTTACCAGATTAGTGACACTAAACTTCAGTATTCTAACTAAATTGCACAGACCTTCCCCCAAGATCTTCAGTTTTCAAGGAGTGGTTCTTCAAATCTTCCACCGAGCTCGCTTCTCCTGCAAAACTGCATTAGAACAATGGATTTAAGATGAAGAACACACAAAAATAAAGCATTTACTTAAATAAACCATAAAAGATCGAGCTACACTGACTCGAGAATGTGGGATTGCAGTATGTTAACATTTGGGAAAGATTTAGACGAATGCTGAAGAGGTATCAAGCCTGCACTTCTGCTACTGGAAGGCACGGGAGACTCGAACATGATTGCGCTACCATTAGCACTCATTCCTGCCAGGGAATTTATACAACATGAACAATTATCCTCATTTTTCATCAATATCAATTTGAGAGCTTCTTGTAATTATAGTATTTGACATACCTTGAAGGATAATGACTACAAAGAACAGCAATGTGATAAACAAAGCAGGTAAGTTGCTGTTGAATGAAGACGTTTTCTCTGCTTTCATCTTCTTCAAAGCTTTTATTCTCTCGACCATGGCACGCTTTTTCACTGCCAATTGAGTCATCTCTTTAACAAAGATCCTGTCAGCAGCATCCAACGACGGACCCCTTGGAGGTCGTGGTGGCTTGTGAAGCTTTCCATTGTTCTTAATCATCTCTTTAACGTTCTTCTTCTTCTCTGCAAGAGCTCCGAGTTCTCGTCTCTTTTCTCCATCTAAACTCTTGTCTATCAACAACTCCACGTTCTCATCAACACCAAGCTTATCGAGCTTGGTGGAATTACTACTGGAATCAAAGCTACACCCTCGATTTATAGATCCATTAGTGCACAGAAACCCACTCCGAAGCCTACTGATAGCTTTCCTAACATGTGGTTTCGATGTCGAGTCAGATTCACTGCTCAAATCATATTCGCTAGTATAATCACCACCTTCAAGATCTATTTCAAACTCTCTATCTTCTGTAGCCATACAATCTAAACCACTCATGTAAAGAGGTTCTACTTCCCATTACGGCAGGGCATTCATTCTACCAAGATCCCGAAATGAAGGGGCCTTCTTTTCTTCTCATCTTCCTAACACTCTGGTGAACCTTTTAATTACAAAAAAGTAAATCCAAAACAATTAGCAATGGACCAAGTTACCAAAAAACAGAGAACCAACTTTTTATCAGATTTTTATGTAGTGCAACTATGAACTTACTCGTGAACTCTGAGCATTGAGTTTATTTACCCTTATCAATATCATCCCCAAACTTTGAATTATCAATTTTCTATGATCAATCGATAGTATTAACCACAATAACTAAATAAAAGCATAATCCAAAGCTAAAAGGGCAAGAAGTTGAGGGACTGCTCTAACTTCATGAACTAAATCTATAATCTAAGCGTTAGATACATTAGCTTCTTAATGTGCTTATGTGAGCAAATTTCGTTTCAAATTTATCTTTGTACACGTTCATACACTTCTGAAAACACCAAATTCAATAGAACTCAACAACACAAATGAAATGCAAAAATTGAATCATATACGTAGCGCAGATTGTTTCTCCTCCTGAATTCAGTCATACCAAACAAATTACACAATGAAAACTCCATATTCAATAGAACTCAACAGGGAAAATCTCTCTCCCCCAACATACATGCAATTATAGTAACAGGAAAAGGGTAGGGGAATTCAAACATTGACGAGAGAAAGAAGAACTCACCGACAAACAGTAAATCAATAGGAAGAAGCCATTTCTGCCATTTTGAAGCTGGAGTTCATGGAGGGATTCAACTGGCACACGAACAACAGAAAAAGATCTGGGGAATAAAATAAAAAAAAACCTGAGGATATGAATGATTTGAAGAACAAAAATGGTGAGAGAGGAAGAAAGAGAGAGAACCCAGATCGTGAGATTAGAAAAGAGGAGAGAAATTTGGGACAAAATCGAAATGGAGAGAAATTTCAGATCTGAAAACGTGAGGTGCGGCGCTTAAATAGGCAATTGTCATTTCTAAAACTAGTTCATCTCGCCATTTCCAATTCCAACTACAACAAATTCAATCCATAACACATTATTTTTAGCCAATAATCTTAAAAATTTTAATAATTTATTAAAGTTTATAAATTTGTTAAATACAATTAAAAATTAAGAGGGTCAAATAGGAATAAACCAAACAAAAATTAGGACTAAGCGACTAAATTTGAATATGATTCGAATTATTATTATTATCATCGCATTAATAAATTAATTTAAAAAATAACACATTATATGTATAGAGGATTCTCAACTTTCACTCTGTGCATGATAGATATTATCAATTTAAACATAACCAGTAAATTATCCGCAGTTTCCACGTCTAGAAATAACCGTAATAACCGATTTATGAATATCTAGACCAGAAAACTACTCGAAGCTTCGAAGTCTGGATAGTCTCGATAACCGGTTCATAGACGTAATAACCAGTAAACACTATCCTAAGCTTCCATATGGTATGAAATAGTGGTTGAATTCAGTCAGTCATGCTGTTGCTGCCCAACAATTAGTGAAGGAAAACAGCAGAAAGAAAAGTACTCCAAGGAACCAATTCATAACTAATTCAAAATCTCAACCGTTCATGAGAACTTCATCTGAATAATAAAAAATCTAGGACGAGATTCCATGGCGCTCTTTACAACAAGTATCGAACCAGTCTAACTATCAAACGTAACGATAAAAACGGGAAGTAGGCTTCAATGAATCAGAGAGACCATTGTTATCAACTCAGTCCAAGACCGTATGATACCAACATATTTACCTTTGATTAGGCGTTCCTCCATGCATTAGGCCTACCCAAGATGGATCTGAATCCTGAAAATTTTGGAATGAAATTAAAGCTATTGCTGGCCATTTCCTGTAAATCCAAAATAACCTTCTAATGGACATGGTGTCTCTAGTCCAGGCATGCTATGGAGTAATATGAAATTGGGCATCATGGAGATTATGTACTTCCAATCATACCGCCAACAACCCGAAAAAGATGAAGATAACTAAAATCCTTTAAATTTGGCTGAAGAGTTAGACTACTTACCAACTTACTTCCAGGGGGTTAACAAATTAGTATCGTTTGTAAGCGCTTCCGTATTCGCCGCGCCTCTGACGTTGAAACTCCCCAAAACTACCATGAGGCCTTGAAGGATAATTCTCCATATGATTTGGATACTTGCTTCTAGAATCAAGGGCCGCTAAATTAGCCCCTTCATAATGGGAATTGACTGAGCCACCTTCATACTCAGAATAGTTATGCTGCTTATAACCAGCAAAACCTGAAGTGGCCATGTGCTGGTGCACTTGTTGCTGACGCCTTTGGGCATCAAGTTGGTGAAACTCATCCCATTGTTTTGCATGTGTTCCCCTCAAATGAGCCAATTTCTTCGTGTAGTTCTCTCTCATCTCCCTTATAGTCTTTTAATAGAACCATAAGTAGAAAGCACAAACTTTAAATTAAAATAACGAAGAGTACAAATTTGAGTCGTGTAAAGAGATCCAAAATGATATCCAAAGAGGGAAAATGGCAACATGGAAAAATACGAAGATACACCAGGTGTCATTTGATGTATGATTGCAATGATAGGAGACCCATACCTCACGGTGTTTATAGTTCTCATCGTCTTCTTCTTTATCACGAATCTTTCCAAGTTCAGTTGCTTCCCTTTTATACTCCATCTCCAATTCTTCAAGAGAATGGGGAAAAGCTGGATACTCGAACTGACGACTAGTTTGCAAATCAGATCCTCTTCTCTCACTATCACATCCTTCCATTCTACCATATGCACTTTTGTTCTGATAACTATCATATGAACTGAATGAGCTGCCAGAATAAGGTGGATGAGCAGGAGATTTTGAGTGGCTTGAACGACCTCTAACTCTGTCGTTGCTATAAGCTTCACAATAAATGAAGAGCAATGTTAAAAATAGACAAATGCTAGAATGTGTTGTGGTATAATTCAAAGTGATCATCATATAATCAAATGAAAAAACCATAGGAGGAAAAACAACCCAGATGCCCAATCATAAAATTGTTTTGTTTTGAAGATAAACTGATCAATTCAGATCCTATCCCTGATATTTACTTCAGAGTCGCATATATAAGCTTGAACAGAAGAACTTACCTTGTACAGCAAACAAATATAAGCAACAAATAACATTATTAAGAAGGCAAAGAGATGGAGAAAACAAAGATTGCTACAAGCTACAACATAGAATTACCAGCTTTCTATTGATGCCGTTAACATATCCTATGCTTTTCCTACCTTGAACCGAGCCCCTTGGATATTTCTGCAGATCATCACGAATGCGGTTTTCAACAGCCTTCTCCTGTCTGCTAAACCTAGATTGAAATTGTGATGCATTTGTAGGACCAGAATGTGATCTACGGATGTCAGAACGTTGTGATCTTGAGCTAACTGGGCTTCGCTCAGGTGACCTGGATCTACTCATGAGAGAACTAGAAAAACCCTTCTGATCACCTTCCTCCTTAATCATCTTGAGCACAACATCTACTCCCTTTACCAGAATTAGCCTATCCTTGCCACTAACAATGATGAATTTCTCATCCATCTTGATCTTACAACCAATATCCTTTTCAATTTTCTGTACTACCCTATGAGTGAAAAGTGCTCTCACATGTTTATCCCTGGCTGGTACCCTTTCAAAAAAATCTTGAGCTTTACGATTTGATCCCAAGGTAGATGGGCATCCCTATGAATACACAAAAATTGCAAAGTAGCATCTGTTAAAATAATGATAACTCGCTTGAATTCTACCGTCACGTAAAAACAGGGATATGAATTTAAAGCAAATAAATTAGTTTCAGAAGGTCTACTTCTTGTCAGAAAACTATCTTTCTATAAAACAAATCATAAAGCATCAAATATTCTTAGTCTCTCTCCCCTTGCATGCAAGCATCCACACAAACGACGCATGAGTGCGAGATTGAGAGAAAACTTTCAATTACTAGGCAATGCTTGTGGAGGTTTTATTGGATGTACTCTCTGCTCAATTGTTCTTTCTAGCTTGCTCCCTATTACTTAGATATTCTCTCATTTACATATAGTTGATAAACTTTTAAACGTGTTTAATGAACCCCTTAAGTTTTAAATGCGTCCAAATAGTACAAAGACTGCCTAATACAAGTGAGACCATAAAATAGAACTCATATGTTGTAAAAAATCTATGTGTAATAACTTAACAAGATCAATAAAACGTTTATAGTAGTAACAATACCTGAGTAAAATGACCTGATTCTCCACATATTTTGCAGACCATTTCTTCCTCTTTTCTCTTCTTCCAATTCCTCTCTGTAGCTTTTGACTTGGCCTCCCAAACCTTGGCTTCTCGACTGGTAAAATCAGTTGGCACAGCATTGGGATCACGAGGTTCATCCTCCTCATCAAAACCTGCATGAGACCTTTTATTTGTATTTGTCTTATCTTGTACTACAGCAGCGGTTGATCGTGGAGGGCCAGTGTACTCCTTGTAGAGTTCACTAAATTCATCATCTGCATCCACATCTGGTGAATTCGCCATCACAAGAAGATCAAATTCAGTTGAGCTCCTGCATTTGTAGAATAAACCACACTAATCAATGTCCTGAAAATTGGCAACTGGCAAATTAGGCATACCTAAAAGCGAGAAAAATGCCCAATTCAGACTAAAACCCCCTTGAATTGAAAAAAGAAAGAAAAAAAAAAAATAAAACAGAAAATTTCTGGAGATAGGGAAGCAACCAGGAAAAGGAAAACTCACTAGCTATCCCATTATGCAGTTATCCATATCCTAATTCAAACATTTAGGTTCAGATATAAGGCACCAATTAACTCCTAAGAACAATTACTCGGGAAACGTTTTCATTTCGAATCACAACCCACACTCCAACGCCACAACTCCCTTCCGCCGCCAGAAGGAGAGAGCGTGTGTGGTACTTATCGTCGCCGGAGTAAAAAACGAACGCACACTTAAATTAGTAAATAAAATCAAAACTAAGTCGTAATGTCGAAGCATATTAACACATTAAGCGATAGTGAGCTACTGTGGATCGTGAACTGAAAGATATTGAAGCAAAACTAAATCGTACAAATTACAGAGCGGGGACGAATAGAAGGTTTTTTTTTTCTCCCCGAGAGAAATAAAGATCGGGAAAAAAAAAAAAAGAACAGACAAATGGAGAGAGACTATTGCTGACAGCAACAAATAATTCAAGTTAAACGTGAAGGACGAACGGAAATTAGAAGAAGGAAAGAAAAAACGGAGAGGAGAAAAGCGAAGGAAAGCAATACACCACAAGACCGGAATATAAAAAAACTGATGATGGGAGACGAAGGAACGAAGTATAAGACGAAATCCGCGAGGAGAAACGAAAAATACCTTGTCGTCGGAGGGAAGAATCTGCCGGAGGCGGAGGCTGCTACCGGAAGGGAGGGAAGTGGTTATGGCTCCAACTGCCGCGAAATAAACCAGAGACTCCGATAGGGTTTGATAGGTATTGCTAAATTACTTATATGCTCCCGTGATTTCCAGTATTTACATTTGACTCCCCCCTCACAAAATGTGTAATTAATGGAAAAAAAATAGAATCAATTCAAATTTTTTAATTGAAATTGGTTGAGTTGATGACTCGATTCACGTAACTGAGCTAGCTTAGAGAACCCGACTCATGACGAAGTTAGGTTAGAGAACTCGAATCATGGTTCCAATTGGTGACCCAAATTAGTACGAGTTGGGTTAGAAAAATCTTTTGGATCAATATAAATTGTTTAGTTAGTTGAATTAGTGACTTGATTCACAAGACCGAGTTAGATTAGAGAACGTGACTAACTAGGTGACCCAGGTTAGGAAAATCTTTTGAACGGATTAAAAAATAACCCATTCATCAATTTTTTTTTTTAATTCCTCTTCATTAAACAACTCCTTATTTCCTTTCCATTATTTTACATTAATTTCTCTCATATCTTAAGTAAATATTGTTGGATGATAAAAGTCCCACATCGGCTAATTTAGAAAATGATCATGGGTTTATAATCAAGAATACTATCTCCATTGGCACGAGACATTTTAGGGAATCCTAAAGTAAAACCATAAGAGCTTATACTCAAAGTAGATACTATCATACCATAGTTGAGAGGTGTGTTTATCTAACAAATATGTTTTTGCTTGATTTATTTTTTATTTGAAAAATATTTAAGATTGATTTTGTTTTTTTGAAAATTAAGTTTATTATTATTATTTTTTATTTTTATTTTTTTTTGTTGATGATCCAGTGCGGAAACTCGCACCGAAGTTTCCGTGGTCATCTCTCTTTCATCTCGCGCGCTCGTCTTCGTCTTCGTCTTCGATTCTGCATCGCTTGTCCATCCTCAGGCCTCGAGTAATTTTACGTTGTTTCGATTCCAATTCTTCGAAACTGGAGAGACATCGCCCAACTTCTTCGGCGCCGCCGTGGCCATCCGACGACCACCGCCCCAATTTCAACCACCAGTTTGATCCCTATGTTCAATACCCCAATCACCATCCCGTGCCTCCTTTTGGCGAGCCCAATTACCCCCCACAGTACCCACACCGTCCGCAAGCGCCGCCGCCTCCGCCGCCTCCGCAACACCAGCCGCCGTTCCAGCACCAGCACCAGCCTCCGCCCCCGCCCCCGCCGCCGCACCAGCACCAGCAGCCGTACCAGCACCAGCGTAATAACTGGAACCATCCAGAGTTCCATAATCCTCCGCCGGACTACCGTCCCCCGCCACTCTTTAACGGCGGGACCCATGAGGTGTTCGGAAACGGCGGTATGAGGCCGAATTATGGGAATCAAAATGCTAATTTGGGGCGTAAACGGCCTAGAAACCAGCCCATCAGAACAGTTCCTGCAGGTAATTTATGTTTGATGAGTCATAAAATTCAGGAAATAGCTAAACTGATACTACAATGTGAACATGTAAACCTAATTGAGCTAATTACTTCTCATAGTCCAGCTTATAATTCCCTGCTGGATTGTGAATTGAACTTAAAAATTAAAAACTGAGACTTAAATGTTCTTTCTTTGTTGGGTCTTTTCAAATTTAGAAGTTCATCGCGGGTACCCTTAATTCATCAAAAGCTGTTTCTTTTACCTGAATCTACTAGTTCTGCACGTTTCCTTTCCCAATGATTATCCCTTGGTTCTGTATGAACGCGTTGGGAAAAAGTATTTTTGAATTTTTGTACAAGAATTCCAAGAGTATTTTGCAATTAAGTGGAGATTTACGCTAGAAGCATCAGAATACTCTTTTAAGTGTCTAATTTGAGGCGCAGGGGAAGCTTTTTAGTTCAATGGCTTTCTGATATTGCTTTTCTTTAGAGTAATCAATTTGTTACTCCATAATGAATGCCTTTGAGATGGTTATTTTTCTTTCAAGATCATGCTGAGGCTGGTGGTACTGCGAAATTGTATGTTGCACAAGTTCCCCGAACAGGAACCGAAGAAGCTGTAAGTTTCAATTTCCACGGTTTTCCAATTCATCGTTCTAGCCGAAAGAGTTCTTATGAAGGAAAATTTATGGTCTTATTATCTTGTCATGGATTGTGGTTCCATCTTTTCGGTTCTTTTTAAGTTTTCTAAACATTTTTGTGTTGGGGTTTGTATGTTATCTTCATTTTCTTACTTTTGGGACTCTTGGGGACGTTTATTTCACTCCTCAAGAAGGTTGTATGCAATTAAAGATGGTTGAAATGTTTTTGTAAAGTTATTCAAATCATTCTGAAGTACTAACAGAAAAATTCTTCCATAAAAAAATTTAATATCGACTTTTTTTCCCTGGTATCCTTCTTCGTTTTTCGTTTTAAATATTTAACAAATATTTAAATCTTTGGTTTCAGATTCGTCCCTTGTTTGAAGTTCATGGAGAGATTCTCGAGATTGTCATATTAAGGGATAAGCTAACTGGCCAACAACAAGGTATTCTCTTCGTTTTAAATTCCATTCCATTTTATTGTTCTGCCGGCTAATGGGTTGACTAGAGCATCAATATGCTCACTTTTGATCTTTATACATTCATAGTAGTACTAGGGGGTGAAAATTGAGTGTGGTGACAGTACCTTGCCATTTGGAAACGGGGAAGCAAGGCACTTTGGAGAACATAATATATGCTGACAAGTACTTCGAGTTGATTCCATAGTGAAACATCCCCTTGCAAAAGCGAACTCTTATTTATTGGATTACTGTCATTTTATTCCTTCTCGATTTCTTCGAAACAGTTCTTAATTCTTCCATACAATTAACACAAATATCTACCTGTTTTATCTATTTACTTCTTTATGGCTATGTTCCTTTAAGTTGATTTTGTCGTGCTTCCTTTATGGTTATCATCTTTAATTGAAGTTCAGTGAATGAAATGTCATTTTTAAATTTCTTCTCCAATCTTAGTTGCTTTAAATAACAGCTTCGATATATACATTTATATTGGATTATCTTTTATGGTTACGAACCGAATGGATTCTGGTTACTGAATATGGCTTAATGCTGTCAGTCATTTGAGGTTATGAGAATAGAATAATGGTATTAAAGCAGGTCTATGATTTTCACTTCAGGTAGTTGTTTTGTGAAATACGCTACCTCCATTGAAGCAGACAGGGCAATCAGAGCTTTGGACAATCAGTATACTTTTCCTGGAGTGAGTTATTAGCTATAGTCTATTATAGATGAACATATTAAATGAAGCACTTGCTCTTATTTTGAAAGTTCATTTCCTATCAACATAATTCGGTAAATGATTACTGAGTCGTTTCTGCTGTTTCTGGTAATATTTAGGCAATTCGTGTCATAATGGCTTTTTGTTCTCTCTCTCCTATAAAAAAAAAATCATGTCGTTTCTTATTATTCTTTTTGTAATAGGAAATGACTCCTATCAATGTGAAATATGCCGATGGTGAAAAGGAGCGCCTTGGTAAGTTTCTGGCATTTCTGACCTCATGTTGCATCGCGAGGACGTATTTTTCCTCTATCTATGCTGTATTATTTGCATCTTAGCAAGGCTATTTCACTTTGCAAAACAGTAGTTAAGCATTGTTTTGTAATTCGTTCTTGCATGCTAGATTTTGATCTTTGCACAGCCATGGTGAATATCATTCTGATTATTTCCCGTAAGCGTGAACCCCTTGATCAATTATCTTATCTCTATGCTCTTTTCAAATTTTTTATTTTTATGTTTTATGTAGGAGTACTTGAAAAATTGTATGTTGGTAGCTTGAATAAAAATACTACAAAAAGGGAAATTGAGGAGGTAAGCCATATTCTTCGCGTTCATACAACGTTCAGTTATTTTCTTAAAAGAAGCATTGCTCTTTTGGTTCTGAGGTTTCAATTTTAATACTTAACAATTCTTTTTATTCCTAGGTTAAAGTCACTGAAAGAGTCCCCACCATAAACTTTTTGTTAACTACATTACTGGAAAGATGACTGAATTTTTTAAAATTAATTTTGTATGATTTTTTAGGGTAACTTGAGAATAATTAGGCAACTTCATTTTCATTTTCTATTAAGGAGTGTGGAAACCTCTCTCTAACAGATACTTTTTAAAATCGTTAGGCTGACGGTGATGCATAATGGTCCAAAGTGGACAATATCTACTAACAGTAGACTTGGGCCGTTGCAATATATTTGATCAATTTAAACAGATAATTAGACGCAAATTAATTTTAAAATGCCACACAATTGTACACAATATATATATATATCTTTTAAATATGTCCTCCTTTCCCCTGAACTGTTCCCCATGGTTGCATAAGCTGAAAGATTAGATGTTTTTTTGGTTCTTGAGCTCAGATCATGGTGGTTGCTTAGGATAATAAATAATTGGGGTTTTTGTTGATGGCCATTTGTGGTGCTTCAAGATTAGTCTAATATTCCTTGGGTTTTCATGAACTTGTCCAGACCCACACAATTACATAGAATATCTCCTCATCATCCTCTCCCAGTATGGATTTTATTTAGGTTTTGGCTATTGTGTGTTGTGTGGACTCTGAGGATGTCTTGCATATTATTTGAGGGCATATTCTCCAGTGCCATAAAGCTTATGGATGATAGTTTGAGGAAATCACCAAATAAATGAGGCTAAAAAGTTGATTATTTTGATTTATATTATTTGTTTATCTGTAATTTATTCAATTAAAAAAATTTTGTGAACGTTTCACTGCCAGGTATTCTCACCTTATGGTTTTGTTGAGGATATTTATATCATGCGTGATGAGCTGAAGCAAAGCCGAGGTGCGTAAAATTATCCGCTTGGGCGATATAACTAAGAAATCTTGTGATCCTTCTATTACATTTATTGGGGAGGATTTTAAATTGTTCATTGTCCTTATCTGAGATTATATCTTAAAAAGCTATAGTTTCCAATTTACTGCATAATTTCTTTCTTACATGTGTCATGAAACTTGTACAATATGAAATTTTGAGCAGATCATGGTAGAGTAAAAGCTCTATTCTGATGGACAAAGTACCTATAGTTTATCTTGTGTCGAAAAATAAGTTGGACTCGACAAATTATTTTCATCATCTAATATCAATGTTTTATGTATCAAGCCATTGAGGCTTTCAACTTTTTTTACTAGATGGCTAAATTAACTTTAATTTTGGGTCAGTCTCTCAATTTATGCTTCTGATTTCGCGCTCATGCTTTCTGAAGGATGTGCCTTCGTTAAGTACGCTCGTAGAGATATGGCAATGGCAGCAATTGAAGCATTGAACGGAAAATATACGATGAGAGTATGACTCGTCTATATGCCCATCTATAGTCTGAGCGCACGATCAGGCATTTTATGTGTACATTACTCTTCTAAGCGTAACATTGATTTCTTGTTTGTTCGTCACCAGGGTTGTGATCAGCCGTTGATTGTTCGTCTTGCAGAACCTAAGAAACCCCGGATTGGTGAACAAAGGTTCGGCCTCCTAATACATTACTCCTTTCTTAAATATGAAGAATAGTCTCGTGTTGCTGATTTCTCATCTGTCGTAACTATGATAATAATCAACACTTCTAGTTGCTGTACCATAGTCTTGCTTCTTGCAACACCGAATAACGTTCTTTAAATCTTTCGAGGCCCACGAGAGTACAAATAGTGTGTGTGTGTGTGTGTGAGAGAGAGAGAGGAAGCAAGGAAATACGGGAGCCAATTCGTGCCCGCTTCAACTGTTATGCTTATTTTCTTATTGGTCGTGTCAATTTCAATTGTTGAACCTCTCTTTCTGCACAGAAGCAACATGTCAGGCAGCCCAAAATTTGGTCATCATCCACACCCATTTAGGTACATTGTGTGTTTATTGCTTCCTTTTTGTTTACTAATTTTATAAAACAAATTGTTTTCTTATTGGTTTAACCTTTTCTAGACCAGAGCTTCCTCTTGGCCCTCCTGCTGGAGGATGTTTTCCTAATAACCCATATCCCGGACAACAAAACTCTGCAAGTTTAGGGCCACCAAAGAGTGCTTCCCAAGTGGTATCCCATGCCCCTTTCGCTCCTAATAGCATACAGAAGCCACCCCCTCAAATACAAGAACCCTCGTCATCTTTTTCTCAAATGCCATTGCGACCGATGAGACCGACACAGCAAGTTTGTCAGCCTCCTACACAGACTGATTTTTCTAAGATGCCGAATCAGGTGCATAGTCAGCCCAGGCAAGATTCACATCAGCAGCAGCAGAATTTACAGGTTCATTATGAAAGTGATCTGAATTATAGTATTCTCCTAAGAGTTGTTTACTGTGCGGGCAATAACTAAAGAGGTCCTTTAATGTCGGTTTGTCTCGGTAACTTATGCATGTATTCTCTTTTATGTTTTTGTGCAGGGTCCTCCAGCACGCGATGTTCAAACCTTTACCGGTACTCCCAACTCGCCTATGACACATCCAAGTTCTCAGGTAGAGGGTCCTCTGGAGTGCGATTGGAGCGAACACACCTGCCCGGACGGTTTCAAATACTATTATAACTGTGTCACCTGTGAAAGCTTGGTAAGCTTTATACTCAGCCAGCTCTTTTGCCACAGTTCCCCCATCTTTTATGATATAAACCTTTGAAAATTGGTCCTTAGTGGGAGAAGCCAGAGGAGTTTGCCACTTTTGAGCAACAATCAAAGCAGGAAAAGCTTCAAAAACCAAACCGTGCAGGTCGCTCTTCTCCAGAGGGGCTTCCTCAGCCAAATCTCTTCAAACCCAACGTCCAAACTTCCGCAGCTGTACGAGTTAGTATTCATACGCGATATATCTATACACGAATACGTACAGTTCATGCATTCATTATCTTCTATATTTCGTTAGGCCATAGATACAGCTTGTGATTTCAAGTTCCGGGTTTCGGTTCTCACTAATTCTTTAATATGCTCAAATTCTTCTGCAGGAGTTGGATTGTATGCGACTTCAATCAAAAGCAAGTCCTGTTGTTAGTCCAGCCTGTGTTTAACAATGCTGTTTAAGTTATTAGGAAGGTTATTTAGGATATTTAGTAGTTTATCCTGTTAGCAACTAACGTTGATCCTTTTGATGCCTAGTCATTACAATGTGAATTAGGATGGTAACAAAGACTACACGTTAGCTGCTCGACTAGCGAGTACACGATGATTTTGTAATGCTCGTGTAAAGCTGATGCTATATAGTCTATTGGCAATCTCAATGTTCCTGCAAACACTTGGTATAGTATATGTATGAAGGAGATAGGCTAAGCTTGCATGCCACTTCTGTCGAGTTGCTTCTCTAAACGGTAATTAATGTGATATTAATACTTTAGAAGCTGTTGTTCTTACTCTTTTTATCCATTCAATACGTGTAGTAACACATAGCTCTGATCCCTATTCTTCTCATATTATGAACATATATGAAATTGAAGGACATTCTAAACTATACTTGTGATTAGTTGTATATACTTGCTATTATGAACGGGTCCAATCCTAATCGTGCATTTATTTATAAGTGTTTTCAACCATAATAGTCTAAGCCTATCGTAGTAGATACTGTCCTCTTTGGACTTTCTCTTTTGACTTTGCCCTCAAAGTTTTTAAGACACGTATATTAGCGAGAGACTTTCACACCCATATAAGTAATGCTACGCCCTTTTTTAAACTGACGTGGGATCTCACAATTCACTCTTGGAAACCCAACTTCCTCATTGGCACATTTTGTGCTGTCTAGCTTTAATACCATATGTAACAGTCCAAGTTCACCGCTAGGCTTCTGCTAAGAACAAGTTTCCACATCATTATGAGAAATGTTTCGTTTCTCTTTCCAACCGATAGAATTCCACATCAACATTGTTCAAAATGAAGACTCGAATTTCTTATCTATAATATAATATTTTTTTAAAAAGTCTAGTTCGACAAATATTCAACATAATCGACAATATATTATAATTTATATCCGTGAAAAAAAGAATTGAAATACACATAAAGAACGCACCTTGAGGTCATAATCAAGGATCCCTTCTCAATAAAAAAAAGAAAATAAATTAAAAATGTAGGGTGTTGTAGGTAACTTTTGAACTCTCTTTCGGCCCCTCCATTTGAGGCTAATTTTATGGATTATTGATTTGCAGTTCAACAAAGAAAAGAAAAAGAATATTCCCATTTGATGCATGGAAATGTACCTAATCTCGAAGTCTTCACCTTTCGGGAACCAGACGATAATAGAGAAGACAAAAAAGCTAGATGTTCGTGTCATTCTCTATCCGCCTGCTCTCTCACACCCGATCTATAAACCCTCAAGTCCTAACAAGCTCCAAATACAAACAAAGTTTATAGTAAAATATTTTACGAGCTCATACCCTGTTTAAATATCGACGGTTGACGTTGATCCAACCGTGTGTGAAACTCCATTATTGTTGCATATTCTCATGTCCACATCATTCAATGAACCAAACCCACAAAAAAACAGGACGTTGCAATGCTTGTAAACTAAGGCATAAATCTTGACAACCCTATATCAATCCATTTGATGTATTCATTATCCATTAATTCCCAACCCCTTTTCATATTTTCAAAAAAAAAAAAAAAAAAAATCATTTCTTTCTTAGATTTTTAACGCATCTTTAAACTTTAGCGTGGTAGATATATATGCCCGTGAACAAAAAGTTAAAAATTTAAACTTTTACTCCAACAAGACATAATTAAAATATACATTAAAATGACCGATAGATAAAAGAAAAAACCGTACGATTAATAACACAGCTGAATCATGATTTGTAGAAGAAAACCCAAATGGGTTTCTATAAAAGAAAGATCGAGATCAAATTTTGTGATCAAGAAAGCTCGAGATCAAACTATTCAATAAATTCGAACTTCCTTCACACTATAGAGCGTATGGATCAAATTTTTAATTTGACTAAAATTTAACTTCATTATCATTAATGGTCAGTTGTGGGCTAATAAAAATAAAACTAAAATCTGGATTTTTAAACTTAGGCTAATATATATACATAGATATATATATATATATGTCTAAACGTATTGTAAAGTTTATTCTTTTTTACTCCTGTTTGAGCATATGAGGAGGAACAACATCTTGAAGCAGCCCATGGTCGGCCAGAAAAGCAGGATTTGGGTTGCGCAATCTGTTCTCGGGAAGAAATCCGGCCATGTTCGCTGCTCCGATGAGGCTGCGGTTGTAATCGACGGTTGAATGTTGGGGAGTGAAGAAGGTCGAGTTTTGTATGTATTGATGAGATATTGCTGAAATGTTTGGAATAATGAAAGTAGAAAAAATTATTTTAAATTTTGTGAATCGAGATCATAGAAGGAAGCGAACTAACCATGAGTGTCGTTGCTAGCTTTGAGCCATGGTATGGGTGCAACATCGACACAACCTCCTCCTAACATGTCAACAGAGGGCCGAGGTGGAGTGGCGATGGCTAGGGCGGACCGAGTGAGAATCGGACTTGGGTGAGTGTGTTGGCCTTCGTAGGTGGTGACCACGACGGTTGGATCAACAAAAGATCGTTCAACTCTCTTCTTTACGTTACAAGATGCATTGGTGCATCGATAATAGCTCCTAAGAAGAGGAGCACCGAAAAATTATTAGTATTATTATTATTATTAAAGTAACAACTCAAGCCGAGCTAATACATATTGTTTGAGAAGTTTCCACACACTTATAAAGAATGTTTCGTTCTCCTCTCCATCAATGTGGGATCTCACAATCCATCCCTTTCAAGGCCTAGCATCCTTATTGGCACACTGCCTCGTATCCACCCTTCCATTTCGGGCTTCCTCTCAAGATTTTCGTTCTCCTCCCCAATAATGTGTGATCTCACAATCCACCCTCTTCGGGCCAGCGTCCTTACTGACACACCGCCTCGTGTCCACCCTTCTATTTCGGGTTTCATCAAGATTTTTAAAACTCGTCTAGTAGGGAGAAGTTTCCACACTCTTATAAAAAATGTTTCATTTTCCTCTCTAATCGATGTGGGATCACACAATCCACCCCTCGGGCCCAGCGTCCTTGCTGGCACACCGCCTCGTGTCCACCGCTTTCGGGACTCAACCTTCTCGTTGGCACATCCGCTCGGTGTCTAGCTCTGATACCATTTGTAACAACTCAAGCCCACCACTAGCAGACATTGTTCTATCTGAACTTTCCATTTCGAGCTTACTCCCAGTTTTTAGAGAGAGGTTTTCACACCCTTATAAAGAATGAATGTTTCGTTCTTCGTCCCAATTGACGTGTAATCTCACAATTAACACAATAAATCGAGGCGAGTAAAATAGATACCTAGGAAAAGGGCTGTTTTTGACCGCTTTTTGGCCGTACTTCCTCCATCGATACCCATCTTCGAGATGATCGACCTCACTCTTGGTCATGAAAGCAAATCTTTGCCCCTTCTCTCTCTTTTGCTTCCTCCTCTTCACCTTCAAAGGATTACTACTGGGCTTGTGCTGCTGCTGCTGCTGATTTTCACCGTCGGCCTCATGATCGGCAGCGTCGGTAGAGGGGGAGGAGATGGAGGAGGAATTAGGGGTGTCCGGAGGGTTCACAACCTCCGAACAATAATCCTTAAATTCACCATTTTTAACACCAAGCAGCTCCATAAACCCAACAGACAATTTTTCACCATCACAAAAATCAAATAAACTGCTGCCTGTCGTACTGTCGGAAAATGGCAAATACCCACCGCCGCCGCCGCCGCTACCGGAGTTCATAATCTCTTCCTTCTTCTTCTCCATGTCCGATGCTTCTGCGGCGGTTTGCTTGTTGGATTTTTTCTTCTCTCTCTAAGAACTTGAAATCAGACAGAAAGTGACTGTTATTTGTATCTCTTCGGTTCCTGCGGAAATCACACCTATAAATTCAACTCTCAATTTTTTTTAATATATTTATTTATGTACGGGATATAAAATTTAAATTTAAATTTATATTAATACATAAAATAATTTTTAACTACTTAAAAAATCTATTTTAATTTTTTAATTAACCAAACTTTAAAATGAGTAATAATTTTAATTTTTTTTAACTTTTGTGTATAATTTTTTATTTATAAATTGAAATTCTAACTGAGTATTTAAAATTTATAAAGAATTTATTGTACAAGTTTTTAAAATTTTAAATTTTAATAATTTAATAAACAAAACTTGTAATTTAACTTTTTTTTTATTTATTAATTAACAAAATGGAATAAAAAATGTACGAAGTATTATTATAAAAATTAGTTTAGATTTCCATTTTAATTAAAATTTAAATATGATATTCATAACCAAATTAAGTAGGAATGGAATAATTTTTTTTTTTAAAAAAAAGTTATATTTAAAATAAAGAAAGAATTTTGGATCTGGATCGGGTCAAGAGTAAATATGAATTATTTGACCATTTACTAGCCGAGATTCGAAATGTGAACACGTTTTTATCGTACTTCTTACACGTGTGATCCTAGCAGCCTCGCACGTGCATTCAAATAAATAAATAAATAAATAAAAATGTTTCTTTTTGGAAATATGGAGTGTAATTTCCTCCCCTCTCTCTTTTCTTTCTCATTTCCCCTTTTTCTTTTTCTTTAATTCATTTCTTTTTTAAACCCTATTTTTCTTTCGTTTCAAATTGTGTTCACACTTAAAAAGCAATCCACAAAGAGAATATATGATTTCATTATATTTTTTATAATTATTATTCTATTATTAATAGACATTTTCAAAATTAAAAATTTTCAATAATTTATTAGATATTTTTTAAAGTCGATCGTATAATTTAATATTAATATTATTTTTATTTAGCTTTAAAATTAAATATTAATATTAAAAACAATCCTAAAAAATTAATAAATAATATTATTCGTAGTTAAAATTTGACGTATAGAATACAAATAATTAATTATATGTATACACTATATAATAAAAAAAATTATATCTATTACATAATTTACACATATGTGACATATAAAAAATTAAAAGATAATGTTTTTAAGCCTAATTTGATTTGAAAAGTTGGTATATAGCTCAACATAATGCATGAACACAATTAAGGGTAATATATAGAATATATTCCGAATTTGACTGATCAAAACTTTGATCATGAACGCGGATTGGATCAAACTATTTATATATGCTTATAGAGTTATCTCGAAAATATAATGGTTATGCATCCATTTTGAATTCTAATCTGTCTAAATTTGATCGTTAATCTAAACATAGTTTAGTTTATCAAAGTAATTATTATAATCGTGATACTGTATAGTGATCGTCGTGATGAGAAAAACTGCGATGTCTAAATTTTTTTTCTTGTTGTTATATGTTTGCTATTTGATATGGCTCGGTCAAACTCACACATTCTAGAAAGTTAAATAAAAATATAATATATAATTACGACGTGGCTTCTTTTGTCGTCTCACGAATTTACATACTATATGATTAATGATATAATATTTGAGGTAGATATAAGACCAAAATGTGTATGGGTAGAGATTGGGCAAGCTGTTACGGGAATATTAAATAATTAAGGTTGGCTTGTGTGACACGCCCTCGATGGATATTGCAACCATATAATAAACATTATTGATAATAAAAATGAAGATTTCGCAATCTTTTAAAACATTATAATATGAATCAAATCATATTAGTGGAAAGCTATTAGATAACGTGATTGTTTATATCTAACTATTTGACATATATTGCTTCGGGTTATGTTTGGGAGTATTTTTCGATTTGAATTGTGTTGATTTTGGAGAAAGTCGAAAAATTTAGGTTCGGTTCGATTTGCGGGTAGAATCTTTTTTTGTTGGATCTGTTGGATTAAAGTCTCACATCGATTAATTTAGAGAATGATCATGAGTTTATAATCAAATAATACTATTTCTATTGGTTTGAGTTGTTTTGGGGAAGCCCAAAGCAAAACCATAAGAGGTTATGCCCAAAGTGGACAATATCATACAATTGTGGAGAGTCGTGTTCATCTAACATGGTGTCAGAGCCATGAGTCGAGCCTCGATTAAAGGGAGATGTACTTCGTTCGATGAGAGCATGCTCAAAGTGGACAATATCATACAATTGTGGAAAGTCATGTTCATCTAACAGGATCAACCCAATCAACCTGAGCTATAATACCATTGTGGAGGATCAACTTGTTAGTCGATATTGTCCGCTTTAACTCGTTACGTATTGTCGTCATGTTCATCTAACAGGATCAACCCAATCAACCTGAGCTATAATACCATTGTGGAGGATCAACTTGTTAGTCGATATTGTCCGCTTTAACTCGTTACGTATTGTCGTCATGTTCATCTAACAGGATCAACCCAATCAACCTGAGCTATAATACCATTGTGGAGGATCAACTTGTTAGTCGATATTGTCCGCTTTAACTCGTTACGTATTGTCGTCATGTTCATCTAACAGGATCAACCCAATCAACCTGAGCTATAATACCATTGTGGAGGATCAACTTGTTAGTCGATATTGTCCGCTTTAACTCGTTACGTATTGTCGTCATGTTCATCTAACAGGATCAACCCAATCAACCTGAGCTATAATACCATTGTGGAGGATCAACTTGTTAGTCGATATTGTCCGCTTTAACTCGTTACGTATTGTCGTCAGTCTCGCAGTTTTAAAACGCATCTTATAGAAATAAGTTTCCACACTCTCCTAAAGAATCGTTTTTCTCTTCAACCAATGTGGGATTTCACAGTATAGATCAAGTATGACCAAATCAATCTGTTCAAACGTGTATCAACCTCGATCGATGCATGTCGGCCACCTCAAAAACATGCTAGTTTGTGTGTCTAGAAGTGATTAATTTAACATGTTTTTGTTGGAAATGAAAGAGAAAGTGATAGGAAATGTTTATGACGTTAAGAATCCACCATTATTGGCGGGTCATAAGCTATGGAATTGCCATGCACTTTTAATTTCATAATTATGAAACCCCACTAATAAACTTTATTGGGATGATAACACAATCTCTTTACAATTAATAAACAACAAGATCCTTGATTAATGTAAAACTAAACAATAATATTTTCATATCTACGTAGGTTTTAAATTTAAACCGTGAAGCTGACGACGATACGTAATGGGCCAAAGCGGACAATATTTACTAGCGGTGGACTTTGACTATTACAAATGGTATCAGGGCCATACACTGAGTGATATGCTAGTGAAGACGCTGGACCTCAAAAAGAGTGGATTGTGAGATTCCACGTCCGTTGGAGAGGGGAATGAAACATTGCTTATAAGGGTGTGGAAACCACTCTCTAGCAAACACATTTTTAAACTGTGAGACTGACAGCAATACGTAATGGGCCAAAGCAGACAATATTTACTAGCGATGGACTTGGATTGTTACAAATGGTATCAGTGGTAGACATCGAGTGGTATGCTAGCGAGGACACTAGACTCCAAAGGGGGTGGATTGAGAGGTCCCACATCAGTTGGAGAGGGAAATGAAGCATTGTTTATAAGGGTGTGGAAGCCACTTTTTAGCAGACACATTTTTAAACCGTAAGACTGACGGCGATGCGTAATGGGCCAAAGTGGACAATATTTGCTAGCGAAGGACTTGGGCTGTTACAAATGATATCAGAGCCAGACACAGAGCGGTATACTAGCGAGGACGCTAGACTCTAAGGAGGTGGATTGTGAGATATTACATCGATTAAAAAGAAGAACGAAACATTGTTTATAAGGGCATGAAAACCTCTCTCTAACATATACATTTCATTAGACACTACAAAGTAATGATTAAAGTTTGACATTGATTCAAACTCTTTCCTTTTGTTAATTAATTGATTAATTAATTAATGAAGAAAGGGTTTTGAAAGCACATGGGAGGAAGTCAATATGTTTGTGATTACATATAAAATTTAAAGGAGAGTCAATGAGATTGAGACAAAGATCCCAAATTTTACGTACACATAGAATCAATCCTGCCGACATCATGTGTCATCCAATTCCTTCTATTTATTTATTCTCTTATTATTATTTTTATTTTTAATCCCATTAATTAATTGACCACACCTACGTTCGAGAAGTCGACTGGATTTTTCCCTTCCTCGAGTCGGAAATGATTCAAAAAAGGGCTCGAAAAGCTCTTTCTTTAAGTCATACTCTGAAAAGGAAATGAAAACTCTTAGAGTGAGATAAGTCTAAACCGAGCTCTCTTTTTCTAAAAGCTTGTTGCATTCTTCTTCTCCGTGTTCTATAACAGTCCAAACCCATCGTTAGCAAATATTACCATCTTTGAGCTTTCTCCTTTCGGGCTTCCCTTCAAGATTATTAAAACGCGTCTGTTAGGAAGAGATTTTCATATCTTTATAAAGGATGTCGTTCCTCTCGTCTCCCAAATCAACAAGTTTATAATTGAAACACGTGTAAGTCAATTACGTATTAAATTTATAATTTATTAATGTTAAATTTAATTTTTAGTCTTTAATAAAATCATAAGCCTCACTAATGTAAGAAGATTCCCCATGTAACACATTTAAATCAAATCTAAAAAGATATAAGATAAGAATAAGATAGATAAGTATAGCCTAAAATTATATGCTTTTCTTGTCAAATCAACTTTTAATGCCAAACTAGGTACCAAAAAGAGATTCAAACGTGTTATTTTTATTTTTATACAATTTTATATTTATTTTATTTTGTTCCTCCACATTTAAAATATATATAAACTATTTTACTTGGTTAACCATGGTTAGGT